GAAGATCTTGAATATGAATGTAAATCAATAGTTTGACTTTATATAGAATGATATATGGATCTCAAGATATTTTCAATGATTCTAATAATATTTGTATTGATTATTCATCACCTATTTATAGGTCTCAATCAATGCATCACGAAATTGTGCCAGAACAAGATGAAAAGTGGCAACTTTCAATCCAAAATGGTTCCCAAGTTTCAAATTGAAAAATCAGTCAACGGCTATTTTTTAACATTATGCGTACACATAGTATAAACTGTGCGTACTCATAGTAGAAGCAAAATTTAATTATGATTTTGTTAAAATACATCTCGCGTACGCACAAAATTAAGCCTGTGCGTATGCATAGGCAAAAAATCAAATTTTGCATTTTTCAATTTCTTTTGATTTTACCAATTTCACAATTGAGCCCAACAATAAGTCCATTATCATTCTATTGATTTTGAACAAATTTTCAACACTTTGTCCCATCGATCTTGTCCATATACCTTCCAACAAAATGACTGTGCAGAACGTAAGCATCGTCGCATTCTTGACACCGTTCGCTCTCAAGTTCTCTCTGCATCCCTCCCGGAATTCTTTTGGGGAGAAGCTGCCCTTACCGCTATTTACACTATTAATCGAGTTCCAACCCTACTCTTTCCAATAAGTTTCTATATGAGGTTCTCTATGGAAAGGTACCCAATTATTCTCTTCTCAAAGTATTTGGTTGTGCTTGCTTTGCCTTACTTCTGCCTCATGAACGTACAAAACTTGAACCTCATTCTCGTCTCTGTTTCTTTCTTGGTTATGGGATAGAATACAAGGGTTATCGGTGCTATGACCCCATAGCCAAGCATTTTCGAGTCTCTCGACATGTTCAATTTTGGGAACACAAAGTTTTCACTAGTATCTTTTCACTTTCATCCGATTGTCTCTCATACTCTCCCTTTTTCACTGACCCTGCCATAAATCTCTCTCCAGATTTTTCCTCTAATGCATGTTATGTCAACTCATCTGGTGATCACTCCACGCTTAGCTCTCACGAAATTGGATCGTCTGATGATCATGCCATCGCATCCACCCCTCTTGAGTCCTCTGATTTGGATGTTCGTCGTTCTAGTAGGGTAAGAGCACCTCCTACCCATCTTAGTGATTATCGTTGTTTTTCTACTCTTGACTCTCTTCACGAGCCTCGCAATTATCACGAAGCTTGTT